CAGCCTCCTGAGTAGCTGGGATTACAGACACGTGCCACCATGCCCAGCTAAGTTTTTGTAGTTTTTAGTAGAGACGGGGTTTCACCATGTTGACCAGGATGGTCTCGATCTGTTGACCTCGTGATCCACCCGCCTTGGCCTCCCAAAGTGCTGGGATTACAGGCTTGAGCCACCGCGCCCGGCCCAATATATGTATTTTTATTTTTTATTTTTTTTCTTTAACTTGCACTGTGGTTTGTAGTATTTTTTTTCCCCCTTCATATCCCCTGTGTCCTTCCTTAGATGAAGTTAAGGGCACTCTTTAAGGGATCCTTGCATTGGCATTGGGTAGGTTGGATTCTGTAGCTATTGGTGCCTTGTCTTAAAGTGTTTTTTAAATTTTAGAGTTGTGTAACCATCACCACAATATGATTTTAGAACACTTTCATACGTTGTGCCCATTTACAGTTAATTCCTGCTCCACTCTTCAGCCCTAGGTAACCAGTTTTTCTGCTTTTCTGTCATTTCTGGGCATTATATAATAATGTACTCTTTTGTATCTGCTTCTTTCACTTAGCAAATGTTTTGGAAGTTTATCCATGTTGTTGCATGTACCAATACTTTATTCCTTTTAATTGCTGAACTCCATTGCATGAATATACATTTTGTTTATTCACTCACCAATTAATGGACATTTGGATTGTGTGTAATTTTTGGCCATCATGCTGCCATTTTCTGTGTGGATGTGTTTTGACTTCTCTTTAGGCAGCTTCCTAGAAATATAATTTTGCTGTGTTCTGCGGTCAATTTATATTTTAACTTTTAAAGAAACAACCAAAGTATTTCTTAGTGTGATTGTACCATTTTACCAGCAATATACAAGGGTTCCATCTTTGCCAACTTTTGGCATTATGGTTTTGAATTTAGCCATTCTAATGGATGGGTAGTAGTGTGCCATGGTTTTACTTTACCTAATAACTAATAATATTGATCATATTTTTATGTGCTTATTAGTCATTCATGTATTTTCTTTGGTGAAATGTTTATTCAGATTTTTGCTTTTAAAATTATATTGTCATCTTACTGATTTCTTTTTTTGTTTTGTTTTGTTGTTTTTGTTTTTTGAGACAGAATCTTGCTCTGTCGCCCAGGCTGGAGTGCAATGGCATGGTCTTGGCTTGCTGCAACCACTGTCTCCCAGGTTGAAGCGATTCTCCTGCCCCAGCCTCCCAAGTAGCTGGGACTACAGATGTACACCACCATGTCTGGCTAATTTTATTTTATATTTTTAGTAGAGATGAGGTTTTGCCCCATTGGCCAGGTTGGTTTCAAACTTCTGACCTCATGATCTGCCTACCTCAGCTTCCCAAAGTGCTGAGATTACAGGTGTGAGCCACCACACCTGGCTTATTTTTTTTCATTAATGGTGTCTTTTGAAGCACAGTAAGTTTTTAATTTTGAGAAAATCCATTTTACTTTTTTCTTTTTTGTGGATTGTGCATTTGATGTCACATCTAAGAACACTTTGGCCAATACAGAGTCACAGAGATTTCCTCCTGTGATTTTTTTTCTAGATTTCTGTATTTTAGCTCTTAACATTAAGGTTTGTCATCATTTTAATTTTTGTGTATGTTGTGAGGTACGGGTGTAAGTTTTTTTTTCCTTTTGGTGTTTGGGTATCAAATTATTTCATATCATATGTTGAAAATACTCTCCTTTCCCCCATTGGATCATCTGGGTACCCAACAAATCGGTTGACCATAAATGTAATAATTTGTTTCTGGATTCTGAATTCTGTTCCATTGATCTATGTGTCTGTACTTTTGCCATTACCATGCTGTCTTGATTACTATGGCTTTATAGTAAAATTCGGAATTTGGTAGTGTAAGTCCTGTAACCTTGTTGTTTTTCAAAGTTGTTTTGCCTGTCCTCTGTGATTCTATATGAATTTTAGAATCAGCCTGCCAATTTCTTCAAGAAAAAAAGCTCCCTCGGATTAAAGATTGTATTGAATTTACAGATAGATCAATTTTAGGGAAAATTGCCATCCTTACAATATTGATAGTCTTCTAATCTGTGAATATGAAATGTTTATTTAGATACTCTTTAATTTCTCTCAGTTGTGTTTTGCAGTACTGAGTGTAGAAGTCTTTGTTAAAGTTTTTCTAAGTATTTTAAGTATATTCTTGATGCTATTGTGAATGGAATTTTAAAAAATTAATTTGTTCATTCCTAGCATATAAAAAGGAAAATACAGTGGACTTTTGTATATATTGTTTCTGCTAGGACCTTGCTAAATTTGTTTATTGGTTCTAGTAGTTCTTGTGTGTGTGTGAGATTTTTCTGTAAGCAGAATTGTGTAATCCATTACTAAAACAGTTTTACCTGTTTCGTTTTAGCCTTGATGCCTTTAATTTTTTTTCTTTTGAACCTTACTGCACCAGCTAGAACAGGTACTATTTTGAAAAGAAGTAGCAAAAGCAGGCATTCTTTCCTTGTTCCTGATCTTTGGATGGAAAGCATTGTGTTTTATCTTTAAGAAAAATTGGCTTTAGATTTTTTATTGATGCCCACCACCATCAAGTTAAAGTTGTATTTCTAGTTTGTTAATGTGTGTGTGTGAGAGAGAATAGGTATTGTATGTGGTGAGATCCTCTTGAATGTTTTGTTACGGATTTTGTTATGTTTATGGGATATTTTGGTTTGTATTTTCTTTTGTCTGGTGGCCTTATTTTCAGAGTAGTTTGACCTTTAAATATGAGTTGGGAAGTGTTTTCTCCTCCTCTGTGTTTGGATGTTATTTCTTTTTTTTTTTTTTTTTTTTTTTGAGATGGAGTTTCACTCATGTTACCCAGGCTGGAGTGCAATGGCGTGATCTCGGCTCACCGCAACCTCCGCCTCCTGGGTTCAGGCAATTCTCCTGCCTCAGCCTCCTGACTAGCTGGGATTACAGGCATGTGCCACCATGCCCAGCTAATTTTTTTTGTATTTTTAGTAGAGACGGGGTTTCACCATGCTGACCAAGATGGTCTCGATCTCTTGACCTCGTGATCCACCCGCCTCGGCCTCCCAAAGTGCTGGGATTACAGGCTTGAGCCACCGCGCCCGGCGGATGTTATTTCTTTTTAATTATTTGTTAGAATTTACCAGTGAAGGCATTTAGTCCTGGAGTCTACTTTTGAGGAAAATCTTCAGTAGCTATTTAAAACTTTTACTACAGCTCTCTTCAATTTTAAAACCTTTTCTTCAGTCAATTTTGGTCATTTGTGTCTTTAAAGAAATTTGTCCATTTCATCTAAGTAGTCTAAAATTGTTGGCATAAACTTTTTATAGGATTTTCTTAATTCTTCACATCTTGTAGGGCACCAGTGATACTCTGACTTTTTTCATTCCTGATTTTCGTAATCTGTGTTTTCTTTTTTACTTAGCAATTAAGATTTGCCAAACTCTTTGATCTTTTTAAAGCAGCCAACTTTTGGTGTTATTTACTTTTCTCAGGTTTTTCTGCTTTCTCTTTTATTGGTTTCTGCTCTAATCTGTATTTTTATTTATTTATTTAATTTAATTTAATTAATTTATTTATTTATTTTTGAGACAGAATCCTGCTCTGTCCAGGCTGGAGAGTACAGTGACATGATCTTGGCTCACTGCAACCTCTGCCTCCCAGGTGCAAGCAGTTTTCTGCCTCAGCCTCCCAAGTAGCTGGGATTACAGGCACCCGCCACCATGCCAGGCTAATTTTTGTATTTTTAGTAGAGATGGGGTTTTACCATCTTGGCCAGGCTGGTCTTGAACTCCTGATCCACCTGCCTCGGCCTCCCAAAGTGCTGGGATTACAGGCTTGAGCCACCGCGCCCGGCCTATACAGTGTATTTTTAAAATGGGCTTTACAATATGTAGTTTTATCATTCAGTTTATGACTAAATATATTGTAAACATTTTCTCTTCAGCAGTTAAAAGAATTGCTTAGCTTGGAGAAAACTAATTTATTAAGCAATTTTGTTGGGGACATTGAGCATAATTTTTTTTTTCTAAGGAGACGTCATTCATTTTACATTGCCTTTAGAAAGAAAGGGGAAGTCCTTGGCTTACATAGCTTTTTATAGATGATGATAACTTGCCCTTCATTTAGCCTTTTAACTTGCTTCTCTACACCCACCTAATCACCCAGTCAAGTAACCCATTTTAGGTTTTCCAGCCTTTCTCTCCCATTTGCTTCCTATTCCCTTCCACATGCAGACAGACTTCCTTTACTAGCACTCTGGTTCCTCTCCTTAAAGAGGCTTTTTTTCCTTTTAAAGAGACTAATTGATTTTGATCAACTCTACTCAAAACTATATCCTAAGTTCCACATTAGGATTAATCTTTAATAATCTGAAGATGTAATTCAGTTGTTTAACATATTAAGAAGACCTTGGTAGAATTACATGTATAAAGAAGTACTGGACTTGGGCACAATGGAGGTATGGCTGACTTTGAAAAAAGTAGTTTTTTGGGGGGAGGGCAGAGCAAAGATATAAGAAGTAGTTGGTACAGTAAGGAAGTATTATAGATCATTATGGAAAAGTATTCATTATTTTAAAGCATAAAAGTGGTACATGCAGACAGTGGTAGTTCTGGAGTCTTGGTAGCCATAAGGTGCTCATCTATCACAGGGCCATCACAGCCAGGTAGAAATGCCTGAGGAAAGCAGCGGAATTGGTCATGCCAGCATTTAGACATGGAACACTTCTTTGGCAGCCTGGTGCCATGGGGCACAGACCCACAGTTCTCTTTGCTCACATCGTGCTCACAGTTCTGTCTGTAGAAGGAGGAGGGGCAGGCACAAAAGGACCCCAGCATGCAGGTTCCCCCATTCAGGCAGCAGGTTCTGTTTCGCTCCTTACTGTCCTGTATCCCCATGGGCAGTGCAAGCTGGGAAGACTGAGGATGAATTCCAGGCTCCTCCTGGGGCTGAATGCTGTCATCTCTGAAGGCCAGGTTTCCCTGAGATGAATGCCGCTTTCTTTTTTAAAATTTATTTATTTTTTGAGACGGAGTTTCGCTCTTGTTGCCCAGGCTTGGAGTGCAATGGCACAATCTTGACTCCTTCGGCTATCAGGTTCAGTATGTTGTAGCATTACCATGTTGTGTTACGTTAAGGTCCAAAAGATTTTTTTGCTTGTTTTGGAGACTGAGTCTCGCCGTGTCACCTGGGCTGGAGTGCAGTGACAGGATTATAGTTCACTGTAGACTCGAACTCCAGAGCTCAAGCCATTCTTGCACCTCAGCCTTCTGAGTAGCTAGGATTACAGCCACACGCCACCACACCTGGCTATCCAAAGGATTTTAACCCTAGTTTGTGCTTTTGGTGTCTGATCTTCACCTCTTCAACTTTATTTTTTATAGCCTTTGGAGGAAGAGGATAAGAAGGTGGACCAGAACATACTGCTTGGAGAGAGAGACACACAGAATCAAGGATCATTTTAGTTTGAGATAAAGGAATGGGGAATATGGCATGAAATGAAGTGAGCTAATTGAGGATTCTTCCATTTCTTCTAAGATAATATTTTTTGTTATCTGGTCTAGTGAGTTTAGTTCGTCTTAATTTTGACAGATTATTTACGTCATCTAAACTTCAGTTTATGAAACGGTAAATTTATTTTACTAAAATCTTTGCTTTCCTCCTTCTCCCCCTTAGGACATTTGCTACAAGATCCTATTGCACCCACCAACTCCACCTGCCAACACTATGTCTGCAAAACTTGTAAAGGCAAGAAAATGATGATGAAACCTTCGTGTAGCTGGTGCAAAGACTATGAGCAGTTTGAGGAAAACAAACAGTTAAGCATCCTAGTGAACTGCTACAAAAAACTATGCGAATATATAACACAGACTACACTGGCACGGGATATAATAGAAGCAGTTGACTGTTCTTCTGATATTTTGGCTTTGCTTAATGATGGATCATTGTTTTGTGAGGAGACAGAAAAGCCCTCAGATTCATCCTTTACTTTGTGTTTGACACATTCCCCATTACCTTCAACCTCAGAACCCACAACCGATCCTCAAGCTAGTTTATCTCCAATGTCTGAAAGCACCCTCAGCATTGCTATTGGCAGTTCTGTTATCAATGGTTTGCCTACTTATAATGGGCTTTCAATAGATAGATTTGGTATAAATATTCCTTCACCTGAACATTCAAATACGATTGATGTATGTAACACTGTTGACATTAAAACTGAGGATCTATCTGACAGCCTGCCACCTGTTTGTGACACGGTAGCCACTGACTTATGTTCCACAGGCATTGATATCTGCAGTTTCAGTGAAGATATAAAACCTGGAGACTCTCTGTTACTGAGTGTTGAGGAAGTACTCCGCAGCTTAGAAACTGTTTCAAATACAGAGGTTTGTTGCCCTAATTTGCAGCCAAACTTGGAAGCCACTGTATCCAATGGACCTTTTCTGCAGCTTTCTTCCCAGTCTCTTAGCCATAATGTTTTTATGTCCACCAGTCCTGCACTTCATGGGTTATCATGTACAGCAGCAACTCCGAAGGTAGCAAAACTGAATAGAAAACGATCCAGATCAGAGAGCGACAGTGAGAAAGTTCAGCCACTTCCAATTTCTACCATTATCCGAGGCCCAACACTGGGGGCATCTGCTCCTGTGACAGTGAAACGGGAGAGCAAAATTTCTCTTCAACCTATAGCAACTGTTCCCAATGGAGGCACAACGCCTAAAATCAGCAAAACTGTACTTTTATCTACTAAAAGCATGAAAAAGAGTCATGAACATGGATCCAAGAAATCTCACTCTAAAACCAAGCCAGGTATTCTTAAAAAAGACAAAGCAGTAAAGGAAAAGATTCCTAGTCATCATTTTATGCCAGGAAGTCCTACCAAGACTGTGTACAAAAAACCCCAGGAAAAGAAAGGGTGTAAATGTGGGCGTGCTACTCAAAATCCAAGTGTTCTTACATGCCGAGGCCAACGCTGCCCTTGCTACTCTAACCGCAAAGCCTGCTTAGATTGTATATGTCGTGGCTGCCAAAACTCCTATATGGCCAATGGGGAGAAGAAGCTGGAGGCATTTGCTGTGCCAGAAAAGGCCTTGGAGCAGACCAGGCTCACTTTGGGCATTAATGTGACTAGCATTGCTGTGCGTAACGCTAGTACCAGCACCAGTGTAATAAATGTCACAGGGTCCCCAGTAACGACGTTTTTAGCTGCCAGTACACATGATGATAAAAGTTTGGATGAAGCTATAGACATGAGATTCGACTGTTAAAGCAGTGGGTCTTTTGAACCTACTCCTGGTAGGGAAATAGCTACAGTTTTAACGGCAGCTATGGTTCTGTTGGTTTAACTTGCCGGAGCTCCTGCATATAGATCACTTGTATCAAGTGTTTTCATTGCTAAGTTATATGTGTTAGTGTCGGGGAAATAGTTTGCAGATAATGGAGGAGTAACCTTACAACTATATGTCCTTAGTTCTTACAGAACCTTATAGTTTGAGAACAAAGCTGATGCAACTGATTTATACAAAATGAACTTTGGCAAGGAAAATAACATTAACCTCATTGTTTATGGTCATGCTTTGTGCATAATCAAAGTTTATGATTAAATGTAAGGAAGTGGTATCTAGTCAGTCCATAAAGATTGTGCTAATTTTTTTGTGGAAAAGTAGCCATTAGTTCAGGAAATTCAGTGCTGCCTTCACATGGCATTGATGTTTCTCCTGTTGGAAAGCTGATGTGTCCAGTTCAACCTTTGTGCTGACATTATACCATTTCTGATCATGAAAATTGGCTACTGGTGTATGTAGCAGTTCTTAAATCAGCAGTATTATGAAAAAAAATTCCCCCCTCATTAGAATGTTTAAGAAATCTTTTAAAAAGGTAAACTGAAATTCTGTCAGACTACAAATGTTTAACTGTTTCTCATTCATTTCTAGGGGAAAAAAATTCTAAATCCCTCCTTCACTTTGAGCAGTGTTCTAATTGGATAAATGAAGTGAAGGAGAGTAATTTTATTCTGAAGGTAATTGAATTTAGACTATATAGTATATGACAGAGTTTTTTAAAAATTATAAAAAGTTTTTATTTAGTAATTGGGATTTACTTAAAATAATTTCAGAATAATGCCCCCAGACTTACCCAGATTTATGTATTGTACTTATTGCCACTGGCCGCCACTTTGATATTTGTTTTTGCTAATAGTTTATTTGCCACAGTCTTTATTTTGAATATTTTTTTTTTTTTTTTTGGATGCTGTTCATTATGAAGGCTTCTTTATAGAGGCCTAATAAACATGCCTTTTTATGAAGCCTGTGTATTTAGGTAGGTTGAAGCTAGGAGGATTTTCTTTAGAATGCTCTTTTGCATGTAAAGCACAAAGTATGTTTCAGTTTAAATGCACTTCTTCCCGTTAATTTTTATGGGGAAGACAAGTGAGTCACAAACATTCTGTTGAAGGGAAATCTAGTCAGTTGCTTGAAAGAGCACAGCCCAAATAAAACAAGGACTGACTAGGTATAATGAAATAACCTATGATTTAAAAGAAGAGCTGCAGCTTTGACAATGCTTATTTAAAGAAAAATACTGCTGGAACATTTCCAATTTCTACTACGTTCACCATCTCTAGTAAGATCTGACATATGTTGAAGTTATGTTTTGATTTGGCACACAGCATGTTCAATGATGGTTACTCGCCTAGTACAAGACATGGAGAAGAAACCTTTGGACACAGAGCAGATGACACCTCCTTCTGTTTTGTAGTGTATCCTGGTGTCATTTTCTGTGAATGTGGTCAGGTAGAGTTTTTGTTGTTGTCGTTGGGTTTTTTTTTTTTGTTTGTTTTGTTTTTTGTTTTTGGTCTCTTTTGGTGGGGTGGGGGTGGGCTAAAGCCATAGGAAGAAAAATGTGATGTATGTGTCCAGTATGTACTATTTTGTTTTTGTTTTGCAAGAAGAGTTGAACTATTTTTGATAACAAGAGTAAATGGTGGAAAATGCTTCTTAGTTGTCTTGTCTTTATTTGCTTTCCAAGATTTGGAATTTTATTTAATTTCTTTAAATGTTAGCAGTGTCTTATGAAACATGTATTTACCTAAAGTTTGTAACAGTTTTGTGTTGAACCCAGATGCCCTGCTATATAAAGTTGTAAATTTGTTCTTTATTCACTAATGATTACTGCAAAAATGATTAGAAATGAGATTGTACACATGGATGATGAGGATATATTTTGCAAATCGACCAAACTTTCCTAATATTATGATCTTAAAACTCAGAGTACTTTATTGCTTCCCAAGTTTTATAAACTTTTGGTTTTTTTTTTTTTTTTTTTTTTTTTTTTTGATGCATGGGAGGTTGGCAATATAGACGAAGTGGAAATCATTAGTATGTGAGGGCTTTGATTGTTATGTAATATTGCCAATGATGAATTCAGGTTGTTTTTAGCACAAGTTTCTCTTTTTTATGCTGGTATTCTCACTGCCACATTTTTGGAAACCTGTATTACACCTTAAATCTATCAATAAATGATAGTTTTCTAATTCTATGTTGTAGAATACTGAGGAGTTTGGGATAGCATGCTCTGAATGGTCTGTATTATATACATCTGGGGAAGAGTAATTACAGTGCCTTGATTTTTATATTGTTTTTCTTTATATTACAAGTTATTTAGGAATGCTGACAAATGGCTAACGAGGGATGATTGAGAGATGATTACTGAAGTAACCGATTTACTTCATCAGGATTTGAAATCGCCAAAGAACAGCAGCATTTAATATGACACATCCTGAATTGTTGAGTCCTTGTTATTAATATAAATGATGAAACGATCTTTTACCTTAGCTAATAGTGTTAGAGCTGACAATTTTATCTTTTTGGTTAGCCTTATTAAGTGTGCATTTCCATGAGGAGGTGTAGTATGGTCCTAGGGATAAATAATTCCATTTATTTCATTGAATGCTTAGTTAAAACAATTCCAACCTTGTTGAAGAAGAGTAAAAGTTTATGGCAATCAGATGAAAATTAAATTGTTCCCAACCATATCATAGATAACAAATATAAATGCTTTAGAAAATACTAAGTTCAAAGTGTAATATGTGAACTGAATCTAATATTTGGATGGTATTTTGCACTTTTTTAAAAATTAAAAGCTGGGCACAACTGCATGTGCCTGTAATCCCAGGTACATAGGAGGCTGAGGCAGGAGGGTCACTTAACGCCCAGAATTTTGAGTCCAGCCTGGGCAACATAGTGAGATCTTGTCTCTTAAACAAAATTTAGGTACCCCAAAACACTCAGTTACACATTCTTTTAAAATAATGCATTATAGATGAGGCTAAGGTCTATCTTGACTGCTGTGAACTCCGCCTCATTCCCAAACCCTGGTCTTCTTCCCTATCCCCGGAAGAAATCATTTCTCAGTATTACTACAAAGACCTTTCCTTAATAGTTTTCACAGGGACTCAGAGTTATTCTCTGACATTCAAGCTTGTTTACAGTGTTACTCTTGCAGACATAAAAATGAGGTACAAATGAGATTAAATGCACAAGTGTGTAGTAATTACCTTAAGGAACATGATTCATATTTGACAACTTTATTTAGTTTTGCTAAAAGGGAAAAAAAACAAAAGTCATGCAGCCGTCTCCAAACACATCAAAAAGCTGAGCAAATCTCATTTGATCAATCTAGAGTTTTATAAACACTTTGAATGGTACACAGTGACATAGGTAAGATGCAGGGAAGATATATGGAACTTTATTATTAGTTTGATTACTTTGGTAATGTTAAGCTATTAAACTCATTTCTCATTGAATTAGCATTAAGGTCATGATAACCCTCAGCTTTTATTAAGGGGCCTGGGATATTGTAACTTGAAAATTCCAGTTTGGCAGTAATGATTATATTTACCATGATCTTTACCAGAAAGTCAAATATATTCTACATTCCTTGCATTCAGCTCCAAGAAAGGAGTACAATAAAACATTCTTATAATTCCTGAAAATGTGACAATGTGGGTAAACTATTAACAATAGTCCATCTTAAATGGAATGGTATTGATGACTGTACTTTTATAATAATTAGAGACTTTTAAATATGTAGGGTCTCGCTCTGTTGCCTAGGCTGGAGTACAGTGGCATAATCATAGCTCACTGCAGCCTTGAAGCCCTGGGCTCAAGTGATTCTCCTGCCTCAGCCTCCCAAGTTGCTGGGACTACAGGTGTGCACCACCATGCCCAGCTAAGTTTTTTTTTTTTTCTTCCCTGTAGAGACGGAGTTTCACTATGTTGCCCAGGCTGGTCTTTATGCCTGGGCTCAAGTGATCCTTTTCCATTGGCCTCCCAAAGTGCTGGGATCACAGGCGTGAGCCACCATGCCCAGCCAATAATTAGAGACTTCAAAAACCAGATGTTGATCAAATTGAAAGCAAGAGGACTTCAGTAAGGAGAATCAAGGTAAAAAGGTAAAGCCAAATAGTTAAAAAAAAAAATGTATATTGTAAAACTGAATTTTATTTTTACTTTTTGGTGAATCTGATCAGTGGTTTAGATCATTATGGATAATAAAACATTTAAACCATATCTGGCTTCTAAGAAAAGTTTTTTTTTTTTTTTTTTTGGTATTTCTATCTGAAATAATAGCTTTTCTTCCCTGGTAAAGGCTAGATGGGATTGGGAGGAAATTTCATTTATCACATAAATAATCAATCCTAATAATTTGTCAATGTGTTTAGATTATTGAATATTGTATTTCCTAAAAATTGTCTTTTTTAAGCTTTTAATTTTTTTGTGTGAACTATTAAATAGTTGGAATAGTTACTGCTTTCTGTAACAGTTAAATAGAAGATCAGTTCTAATCGTGAAGTTAAAGTGACAAGAAACTGGGAGGAGATTGGTAGGCAGGATTCCTAGGATTAACTCTTACTGTACTAGTTCATAGTGTATTTCCTAAATTCTCTTGCTTTTTGCCTACCATAACCCTAACCCAAGATTTATTTCACTGCTTGGCCTTTATGCTAGCAAGGAGGGAACCAATTTTTGACACTTTCAGAACTAGTTAAAAATTGAGGGGAAAAGGTGATGACTGACAGATATTAAGTTGCTTGGAGGTTTTACTTACATCAGAAGTATCCTTTTTAACAGCTTCTCTTCAAGGATATCATAGGATTTGGCTGGACTGTGGCCTGCTGAAAAATGTAGGATTCTGTAGTGAATACATCTACAACTACAGTAAATAATAGCTTGCTTTTATGGGTGTATCACTATTTTCCATTTCCTTGGTAAGGAAGTGGATGAAATATCTGTAGTAGTAGTTTTTTCAACATGAACTAAGGAATAACGTTTAAGATAGGCCTTTACGATTAGCTAGTTTAATTCTGGGAGAAAATTCTAGTAAGAATTTTAATGTATAATTATTCCTTTATGTCTTCAAGCAGGCCTTCCGAGTGAAAACTATCACATGATTTGGAGATTAAATACATCATTCAATAATTCATTGAAAATAAGATAGTTAAAAGGGCTTTTTCCAAGAAATATGAGTCAAATTCTGTACTTGTCTTCATTTAAGAAATTGTTTTTTCTTGAGATTTTATGTAAGATCCACAGTCAGGACAGGGAGGTTACCAGAGCTTGCCAGCAATGTTGGAAGGCCCAGTGGTTACGATACCTGAGGATGTAAAGTGACTAGTGGTTTGGCAGTAACCGTGAAATTACATTAAGCCAGGTAAGTTCAAGATCTTTGAACTCCAGTACACATGTAATTAAAAGAAGTCTCTGAGATGCTTTGGCAGTGCTTTTATTACTAGGGCTAAGTCAATTCTGGAGGCCCTTACTACTATTTCAAGTTCCAGAATTTTTTGACTCAAGTTTTCTGCAAGTGAAGGTTTCTTCTAGGCTCCATAGGAGCCTGGAGGGGACTCAGGGATGCAAGCCAACACAGAGGCAACCTCAGTCAGCTTCTGTGCAGAGAACTGTGCTTGGCACTGTCCCCAGGAGATCCTTGGTACATTCAAGGGTGTAGAGTGCTGACTTTGGAAGGCAATGGTACCACTTCTGAGGAAACGCTCTGTAAGAGGTTTGAGGCAAATTGGAGGAGTCTCCTAAGTTAAATGTGTATCCAGACCTATTGCTTAAAAACAAAGTTCTTAGTACAGATACACACTTGGAGAAATCAAAGTCTTTAAAAAGCAGTATGCCAACGAGAACATCTCTTCACAAGAAACATTTAAAATACACATCCTTTCACTGCAGACACTGGCAGCTATTCTTCATCCACTGAATGAAGTTTTCCACATTTCTCTGGAAGGCTTGCACTTAATATTTTATTGCCTTTGTTTCCAAATTCAGAGGGTGAGGCAGGTTCGTCTGTTTCATAATCTTCAAAGCTGAAATAAAGCAAAAATGAGTTACCTGATTAAAGCTTCAATGTTTAGGTAGAAGTCAGTATGGCAAAACCTTTAGTTGCTAAATGGAGGCTGTGAACAATTGAACTGCACTGAAGGAGGCAACACTATACAGCAGAAAACATTCTTCTGTTATTTACAGCTTAAGTCCATGTCAGAATTTGTTGAAAATGTTCTGTATCAAGCTTTCCCTGGGGGTGGTGGGAGAATTACAAATGGTACTAGGTTAAGAAAATTTGAGGTCCATAAGGTATGAGCTTTACATGACTTTCCTCATTAAAGTGGTTTCCACTCAGAATGGCAAACTTTTTTTTTAAGATGGAGCCTTGCTCTGCCACCCAAACTGGAGTGCAGTGGCATGATCTTGGCTCACTGTCACTGCAACCTCTGCTTCCCTCATTCAAGTGATTCTCCTGCTTCAGCCTCCCCAGTAGCCAGGACTGTATGTGTGCACCATCGCATAGAGCTAATTTTTGTATTTTTAGTAGAGATGGGGTTTTCACCGTGTTGGCCAGGTTGGTCTGGAGCTCCTGAGTTCAGGTGATGTGCCTGCTTTGGCTTCCCAAAGTGCTGGGGTTACAGGCTTGAGCCACTGTGGTTGCCAAGAGTGCAAACTTGATCTCAACTCGCAGATTGCTTTATAGCTTCCCTTTGTGGCTCCAAGCAACACAAATAAATGTTCAAGAGTGTAGGTGGAACTGACTAAAGCTGGTTCATAGATTTCCCATCATTCTACTTTGTAGAACTCTACAGCATATACCTAGACCTAGATGTTCATCCTGGGAAGATGTTCTGCTAACCCTTTTAGGTTTTGCTGGTATCGCCTAAATTGTGTATCCTCCAGGCTACCCGTAAGATTGACTTTCGGCAGAGATGCAATATTTTTCTCTTGGAAATGATGTGGCTGCCTAAAATATATTGATAAAGATTCTGAGGCTGTATCTCTGAGCCTCAGATGTAGTTAAGTACATCAGAAAAAAATACATCAATTAGCAATGTCTTACAGTATTTGACATTAGTAGCTTGCAGGGATCTCCCAAAATATTTAAGCAGAAATTTGTGGACATAACAGTCCATCAAAAAGGTACAAAGGTCAACTAGAGAGGGAAAATATGCTGAGGTAGGTATATACAGTAGATGGCACCTATTCAAGTTTCTAAAACTTTTTTTGTGTTTTTTTCTTTTGAGATGGAGTCTTGTTCTGTCGCCCAGGCTGGAGTGCAGTGGCGTAATCTCAGCTCTGCCTCCCGAGTTCAAGTGATTCTGCAGCCTCTGCCTCTCAAGTTCAAGTGATTGTCCTGCCTCAGCCTCCCAAGTAGGTGGGACTTAAAGGCGTGTGCCACCATGCCCAGCTAATTTTTGTATTTTTAGTAGAGATGGGGTTTCACCATCTTGGCCAGGCTGGTCTCAAACTCCTGACCTCAAGTGATCTACCCATCTTGACCTCCCAAAGTGCTGGAGTTACAGGCATGAGCAACTGTGCCTGGTCAATACTTTTTTTTTTTTTTTGAGATGGGAGTCTTGCTCTGTTGCCCAGGCTGGAGTACCATGGCACGATCTTGGCTCACTGCAAACTCTGCCTTCCTCAAGTGATTCTCCTGCCTCAGCCTCCCAAGAAGCTGGGATTATAGACATGCACCACCACTCCTGACTAGTATTTTTATTTTTTTTAGTAGAGAAGGGTTTCACCATGTTGGCCAGGCTGGTCTCGAACTCCTAACCTCAGGTGATCCATCTGCCTTGGCCTCCCAAAGTGCTGGGATTACAGGCATGAGCCACTGTGTCCAGCCTAGGGCCAACATTCTTGAATAGAAGTTAGAGGTTTAAACTTTCTAAAAAGCCTACTTGGGGCTGGGCACAGTGGCTTACGCCTGTAATCCCAGCACTTTGCAAGGCCAAGGCGGGTGGATCACTAGGTCAGGAGTTCAAGACCAGCCTGAACAACATAGTGAAACTCTGTCTCTACTAAAAATACAAAAATTAGCCAGGCATAGTGGCGGGTGCCTGTAATCTCAGCTACTCGGGAGGCTGAGGCAGGAGAATCGCTAAAACCCAGGAGGTGGAGGTTGCGGTGAGCCAAGATCGTGTCACTGCACTCTGGCCTGGGCAACAAAAGTGAAACTCCATCTCAAAAGGGAAAAAGAAGAGCCCACTTAATAGCAAATTGTTCCCTATGACTACCAGTTTATGATACTATTAAAAATTATAATTTGTTCATTTAATAAAAATAACTCTGTTCCATTCTTTGTTTCCACTCCTCTTTCCCCATGTCTTTGAGGCCTCAATGTGGCATGGGATGTGCTGGATAAGGAGGCAATAGGAGAGGCACTTTTCCTCTAATGCAAGTGAAATGGTTGATGACAGGGACTCTACTCTGGGGAGCAAAATTCTCAAAACCACTGCTGCTGATTTCCCGTCAGGATGGGAGCATTTTCTTCCCCTTGGTGCCCTAAGTTGCTGTCTGTAAGCTGTCAGTGTCAAATACCTCAATGTAGGTCTATGAATAAGGCATATTTTCAGAGTTAAGTGTGACGTGAGACTCATTCAGTAAATACTTGAACTCCTGTTGGTCATTGTGAGAGCCAAATGCTAGGATTACAATGATGAAAAACACTGAAGCAGCGCTCTCCTCACAGCATTTGTAACCTAATGGAGACCTTATGGAATTAGGAGTTAAGTGATTCAGCCTCCGAGCATAAGCTCTGGAGTCGGACTCTAAAGGTCAGGTTCCAATCTGGGTTTGATCACTTAATGGGACTTAGGCGTATTGGTGAGTGACACCTAACCCTGTGTTGGGGGAGGAGTTACACATTTCTGTGTATGTCATTTTTGAATAAAACATTTTCAAAACGAAGTTCATTCAATAACCCTCCTTTGTCAGCATCCTGGAGATGCCTCTTAAATTTGGTGGTTCTCAACTAGGGGATTTTGCTCCCCTGGGAACATTTGGGAATGTCAGGAGACATAGGTCTGTGTCTTGTCTGCATCTTGATTGTCACAACTGAGTGGGTCCTACTGGCATCTGGTGGGTAGAGTCCAGGGATGGCGCTAAACATCCTACAATGTACCAGATGTCTCACAATAGAATTGCCCATCTTAGAACTCTTGCTCCTGCAATTCCAGTGCGTCCCAGGTTCTGGATTCATGAGCTCTTCTCGTTTTGTACTTCCCTGGTTAAGTTTAGTCTTTCCCATGGCCTTACTTACCACTTACTCACCTGTGGTTTCTAAACTATGTCCAGCCTCAGCCTCTAAGTTAGAGAATTCCATCTATCCAGCTGCCTACCATATAGATGGCTCTTTCAGAATAGCAGCATGTATAAACTTGAACTCATATTTCCTACTTCCCTGTTTCTCCTTATTTTAGTGAATGGCACCGTTGACTACCCACTCAAAGCCAGAAACTTAGTTATCCCAAGTTCCTCTTTCTTCACCTCTTCAAATTGAGCCAGTCTCTTACACCAACCACTAGAGTTGACCATATGGATACAATCCTGCCTTTTCCTCCCTGCCACCGCTGGCTTAAGTTCAGGGTACCACACTTTCTTGTTTGGATTACACTCTGGCCACATACCCTTTGCTACTGCCATACCAGACTGTTTATGGTGTTGAAATGGGTTATGGTCTTGGCTGTTTATGGTGTTGGAATGGGTTATGGTCTTGGGACCTCATGTCACTGTACAAGTTTTTCAATTGCCTGAAATGCACTTCCCTCTTTGGCTAGCTTGTATTCAGCTTTTAATCTGAGATGTCACTTACAGGTTTCCTGATTCTTCACTCCTTTTAAAAGACAAGAGTCTCACCCTGTCATCCAGGCTAGAGCACAGTGGGATGATCATAGCCTCAAACTCTTAGGCTCAAGCGATCCTCCTGCCTTGGCCTCTCAAAGTGCTGGGAATTACAGATGTGAGCTACTAAGCTTGGCCCCGGAATTCTTCTTGAGTCAGATCTGTGAGAACCTTAATCTTTATCCTGCTCTCCAGGAATTCTTGAGAACATGGAGAATAAAGTATGTTACCTGACTCCTACATGGCTACTTCTGCATTTAGTTGGAGGTCAGTGTTACTCCTCAGGGCTCAAATGAAGATAATTTTATGTGTTTTCTGTTAACTGGCCCCCTTTTTTTTTTTTTTTGAGACAAAGTCTCACTCTTGTCACCCAGGCTGGAGTGCAATGGTGCGATCTCAGCTCACTGCAACCTCTGCCTCTCAGCAAGTGATTCTCCTGCCTCAGCCTCCCAAGTAGCTGGGACTACAGGCGCCCACCACCACGCCCGGCTACTTTTGTACTTTTAGTAGAGACGGGATTTTGCCACGTTGGCCAAGCTGGTCTTGAACTGTTGACCTCAGGTGGAGATCTGCCTGCCTCGGCCTCTCAAAGTGTTGGGATTACAGGGATGGGCCACTGTGCCTGGCCTATAACTGGCCATTTTTGAATGGTCAGAGGATTAAAGCAGAACTCACAGGGTTCACAAATAATTTACTAGAAATCATAGGTGTCAAATAGAGAAGAACGTTTTTTTTGAGACGGAGTCTCGCTCTGTTGCCCAGGCTGGAGTGCAGTGGCGTGATCTCAACTCACTGCAACCTCTGCCTCTCAGGTTCAAGTGATTCTCCTGCCTCAGCCTCCTCAGTAGCTGGGATTACAGGGGTACACCACCACACCTGGCTAATTTTGTATTTTTAGCAGAGATGGCGTTTCACCATGTTGGTCAGGCTGGTCTCGAACTCCTGACCTCAGGTGATTGATCCACCTGCCTCAGCCTCCCAAAGTGCTGGGATTACAGGCTTGAGCCACCACCCCTGGCCGAGAACAAATTCTTCAACATAGTATTGTTAGTGTGAGGGGATATAATGGTTCATGTAATTTGGCCAGCAATACCACTGCCTTTAGAAACTTAATTCCCTAAGTTTTCCCTTTCACATGAGCAGTTTTTGGGCAAAAGTATTAAGGTGGGCTCTGCAGATTCCTGGGATGGAAATA